CCAAGAGGTAACATTATTGCCCCTTTTTTACAGATAAAGAAACTGAGGAACAGAACGTTTAAGTAACACACACAGCTGGCCAGGCATGGTGGCTCACGCCTGTAATTCCAGCACTTTGGGAGGCCGAGGCGGGCGGATCACAAGGTCAGGAGATCGAGACCATCCTGGCTAACACGGAGAAACCCCGTCTCTCCTAAAAAATACCAAAAAAACTAGCCGGGCGAGGTGGCGGGTGCCTGTAGTCCCAGCTACTCGGGAGGCTGAGGCAGGAGAATGGCGTAAACCCGGGAGGCGGAGCTTGCAGTGAGCCAAGATTGCGCTACTGCACTCCAGCCTGGGCGTCAGAGCGAGACTCCGTCTCAAAAAAAAAAAAAAGTAAAACACACAGCTAATGATCCCTGAGCTGGAACGCAAACCCTGGATCATTTGTGGTTCTGGCCACTACACACGTTTTCCTTGAAAGTCCTGACAAGCCCTCTCCACAGCAAACACAACCCCTCACCCGCCCCCCCCCCCCCACCCCAACCCAGTTTATGCAGCTGTGACTCCCCCTGCCAGCACCTGCCGCAGTGTCTGAGACTTCTCCGGTCGCCTGAGCCCACCCCTGCACACAAGGCAAGAGGAAAGTGCCAGGTCATTAACAACCTGGGGCTGGCTCTGCAGGGCTTGGGCCTCAGCATTCCTCAGAAATCCCAGGCCTCCTGTAGCACAGGGGCATCATTAGAGCCACAGGTCCCCTTCCCCTCCCAGCACTTCTGAGATCACCTCCCCTACGTCACTTACCATGAATCCTTTTGTTTCTGTCTCTGTTCCTGGGGGAATCCAAACCCGAATCCACCCCACTGTCCAATAACGACAGCTCACACTGATAAACTGTGAGGCTCTGCCAAGCGCTGTTCTGGGATGCCTTGATGTGTTAGAGCACTCAAGCCTCACAACAAGTGGGGAAACTGAGGCTTGGGGCGTCTGAATAACCCAGCCTCTTTCACTCGGCTACAGGTGGTGGAACTGGAGGTTCAAACTGGGCATTCCTGGCCCCACAAAAACCACAACCCACGGTGGGCTCTTTCATTATCTTTCTTGCTCTTATGAAGAAACTTTGGCTGAGCCTTAGAGGTGGGGACGAGAAGGCAGAAGGTGAGGAAAGGTGACCTGTGTGCCCTGAGGGATGAGGAATGGGCAGATAAGGGGAAACTTCACACTAGGCTCCAGCCACAGCAGCCAATTCACTGGAACTCAAAAGCACCCTGTGTTGCATGCTGGCCCTGGCAGGGAGGTGTCTTTGGAACCCAGTAACATGTCAGAGTCCTGCTCTGAGAGGTCATCAAAATGGACAAGTAAAAGCCTCCCTTCTCAAGTAGGCAAAGTCCACTGCCATACTCCCAAGACAAAGTGCGGAAAAGGCCCATCTGCCTGGGACTCAAGGAATAGGGGCAGAAAGGAGCCAGGATGCCCAAGGAGAGGCCAGGGGGATAAAAGGCAGGTGGGATGGCAGCAAAGGAGAAGCTTCGGGGCTCCCATGGCAGGTTGAAAGCATGGCTGCAAATTCCTGGACGCTTCTTCCTCAAGAGGTGGTGTTTCTGCCCATTCCTCTTGAACCTGGGAGGGCTTGTTCGTCCAGTTCAGCGATGGCTGGGTCACAAACAGCCGTTCAGCTTCCCCTTTGTCCATGGGACTGCTCTGACACTGCCATACTGTGAGGAAGCCCAGGCTCCATAGAGAAGCCACAAGTCAACATTCTCATCAGTATCCCAACTGTGCCCAGCCTCACCTCCTTCCAGAGCAAGCACCAGACATGTGAATGAAAAAGCTTCTAGGTGGTTCTATCCGCAGGCCTTCAAGTCACTCTCGGCTGTTCCCAGCTAAGATTCCAGACATTGCAGAGCAGAGCAAAGCCAAACACCACTGTACCCCGTCTAAATTTTGACCCACAAAATAAAGTGCTTTTTATACCACTAAGTTTAGGAATAGTTTGTTACATAAAAAGAGAAGACTGAAGCCCATCCCCATCCCTGGCAGACTCCATCCAGACTGAAAAGTAGCCCAGAGAAAATAGGAAAGAAATAATGTCCACACTCTTCTCAACTCCTGAGATGTTCCAGTTGGATTGTGATAAAAGACTGAACACTTGTGGGCACCTCTCGTCCACAGACACACTGCAAGGCAAAACATCGAGTCAAATAAGTTTGGGAAATGCTGGGTTAAACGGGCTTCTTACCATGAGCAAGGCCTTTTAACAGGTTAATGAATGGTGTGCCTGAAGGGAATGCCTGAGATCAGGTGTGCCCTGGGGCCAGGACATTTGTTGTTCTCCTCCTACGTGTAGTAAAAGCAGCTAGATTTTCCACGGAGAAACCGCCACCCCCCACTCTCAGCCCACTGGGTTGTTAAAATTACAGTCATTAATTATAGATTATTCTTCAGAATTTCTAAACATTTCTGAGTAATTGGATTGCAAAACTTTCTATTATGGAGAGTCTGAATCACGCACAGGAGCCATTTCTTCCTGATTCCCACAGTTGCTTCTTTATGGGGAGAAAGTGTCTCTGTGGCAGGCATGGATGGCTGCCCGGTGAAGCCCTTTCAGGAGGATTTTCTCAGGATTTCTAGGACTCAGCGGATCCTGAGGATGCTGGGACCCAGGGGTCATCATTTCCAGGCTTCTGGACATTACGACGGCAAGCAAAAATGTTGTGTCCCAGATGGATTTTGCATATGTTTTTTTGAGACGGAGTCTCACTCTATCACCCAGGCTGGAGTGCAGTGGCGTGATCTCGGCTCACTGCAACCTCCACCCCGCTGGGTTCAAGCGATTCTTGTCTCAACCTCCCAAGTAGCTGGGATTACAGGTGCCTGCCACCATGCCTGGCTAATTTTTTTTTTTTTTTTTTTTTTTTTTTTTTTTTTTTAAATAGAGACAGAGCTTCATCATGTTGGCCAGGCTGGTTTCGAACTCCTGACCTCAAGTGACCCACCCGTCTTGGCCTCCCAAAGTGGGATTTTGCAAAAGTTAATGAACTAAGTGGCAATCACTCAGAAAGGGATTGTTGAAATATCTTAACTTCTTAAAACGTTTTTAAAATACCAAAAGTGGAGGTGGCTTGTTTTTCAGGATGTCCCATCAGCCCGTCCCCACCAGCTTCCCTTCAGGGCCCAGAGCTAACTGGCCAGTGCGGGGTCAGCATCTCAAGTCAGTTCACATCCAGGGCCCTCACAGCATTCTCTAGAAACCACAGTTCTTACAGAAGCATCCTGTCCCCAAATTTCCTCCTCTGCAAATGAAAACGCTCCCCACTCCCGCCTCTCCCCGAGCTTGCTGCAAGAAGTGGAGTTGGAAGGATTTGTCGACTGTCTGCACGACAGCGTTGACCTCTGGGGAGACAACAGACAATATCAACTTTCCACATTTGGCCCTGAATCCACAGGACGGAGAAGAGCTTGCTTGTAAACAAAATTCCTACTTGCAGTGTGCGGACGTGAGTGTGACTCATGGCAAAGACCCCTAAGACAGTGAGTGACGGACCCAGCTGCTGACCTTTTGCGTGGGGTGTTAGCAAGCCCCCCAGTTCAAGGATGGCAGCAAGATCTGGTCATGAAGCCTCTCAGGCTAAGCTGTCCTCCTGGGACATAGATGGCTCTCAGTCAGACACGCATGAGCCTGTGCCTCAGTTTCCTCATCTGTAAGCTAGAAATGAAGAACAGGCCCAGTCTCACTGGGCTCGTATGAGGGCAGAGGAGAGACAAGACATGGCCTTGCAGATGAGACGTGCTGGGGAACGTCTCTCCACCTGGGTTGGCCGGCCCCGCATCTCCCCGAATTGATGGGTTTTGTTGTGTTGATGGATGGCAATGCCCCACTAGGCTGGAAGTCATCTCTGTGACTGCCAGCCTTGGTCCCTCATGTACTCGCTGTCTCCTCAGGGCCTAGCACAGCGAGATGTGCTTAAATAGGACGCACACCCCAGCCACGTGTGGCCGACCCAACCAGGGAGGCCTCGTACAAATCACCCCCAGCTGCCTCCAGGAGAGTGAAATCAGCACAAGACCCCACCTCCTCCACACCCTTCCACACACTCATCCGTCAGCTCACAGAAACCCAAACAGGCCTCCATTCAGAATAAAAACACTGGAGAACGTTTTTATTCCATACGATCCGTCCAAGTCTCCCTATCTTTTTGCTGTTGTTTTAGGGATACGTTGGAAAAAAAAAAAATCCTTAAAACAGGAGTTGGGTGAGGTGGCTCACACCTGTAAACCCAGCACTTTGGGAGGCCGGGGGAGAGGTTGGGGCAGACCACATGAGGCCAGAAGTTCAAGACCAGCCTGGGCAAAATGGTGAAATCCCAACTCTAACTAAAATATATATATATATAAGGCAGATGTGGTAGCGCATGCCTGTAATCCCAGCTACTTGGGAGGCTGAGGCATAAGAATCGCTTGAGGCAGGGCGCGGTGGCTCAAGCCTGTAATCCCAGCACTTTGGGAGGCCAAGATGGGCGGATCACGAGGTCAGGAGATTGAGACCATCCCGGCTAACATGGTGAAACCCCGTCTCTACTAAAAAATACAAAAACTAGCTGGGCGCGGTGGCAGGCGCCTGTAGTCCCAGCTACTCAGGAGGCTGAGGCAGGAGAATGGCATGAACCCGGGAGGTGGAGCTTGCAGTGAGCTGAGATCAGGCCACTGCACTCCAGCCTGGGTGACAGAGCTAGATTCTGTCTCAAAAAAAAAAAAGAATCGCTTGAACCTGGGAAGTGGAAGTTGCAGTGAGCCGAGATCGTACCGCTGCACTCCAGCCTAGGTACAAGACATTGTCTCAAAAAAAAAAAAAAAAAAAAAAAAAAAAAAAATTCCTTAAAATCCCAGTGCAATATTGTTTTAGTCCAGTGCACTGAATTAAACCTGCACGTTGCAGTCGTAACTCCCCCTTTACAGAACCCAGAATCTGGTGAGAATTGCATCGTATTTGACAGTGACGAAAAAAATACAGTACACAGCAGTTTTAAAAAAGAGCATTTTATTTTCACAAAGAATAAAAGAGATCAATATACTGTAAATGGATGCAAAAATAAATATTCATTCAGCATATTAAAGATGTGCTTTGACATTCATTTGAATTGGAGATTCAAGCCTATTGTTATCTTACGAACACTTCAGCAAACAGGTCTGCCGTTCTTAAAAATATAATGCTTTGTTGGACAAAACGGAAAAGGCACATCCCCTGGTCTTCTCCTCTATTCACTTGTGAGCTCATCCACATCTAAAGGACCTCTGGGTCTGACTGTCACCTCCACAGGCATGGCGCTGGGAAAACGAAACTGGTTTTTCATATTTTAAACCGGAAACTCTCACGGTCACAAATCCACCATGTCACATGAGACTTGGGAGATCGGATGAGCTGTCTCCCAAACCCCAACACCTTCCACCTTCTCAAAATGAAGGCTGACAGGTGAGGCCCCTTCCTGCCCTTTCACTGGGAGGTTCTGAATGTGGGATGGTGCTGACTCAGGCTGGGCACAAAGGAGAAAGAAGGACATGGAAAATCCGACAATTCAAAGTAGAAATATTTTAAACATATGTGAAAAACATTTGGAAAGAAGACAAGAGGTATCTGGGATGATTTCATTACAGAAATGAAAAAAAAATAAATTTAGTTCTAATCTTCCTGGCAACAAAGCCCCAGAGGAGAAGGATTGTCTGAAGATAAAAATACACCCGTTTGCCTGGATATGAAGACATATTCCTGCACCGAATTCTAGAAAGAATATACTTTCTTCTAACAAGTCAAGAGTTTTTCTTGCACTCATTAAAGGGGGGTTTGTATCTAAATATTTTTAAATGTTATTAAAATGCATAAAAGTAAAAAGATATTTAATATAGAATCAAGCCTATGAAATCATAAATCTATAATTCTAACAAAAGATAAAGACAAAAACAACCTTGTTTTCACGAGTTGATTTTTAAACTCCAAATTCCTTTACTCAAAGCAGCTATCTGCTAATATTACTGAATGACAAGTCTTTGGAAATGATAGTTAACCAAAAATGCAGAAAGAATCACAGCAACTAATGATAATGAAGGGGAAAATGTAGAAAATAAAATGTTTAGCCACAGGTTGGGGTTACAGCATCCAGGCCACCACTGACATCTCAGCAGGGCTACGCCGCCACTTTGTATTAAACGTCTACTCCTCCGAGAATGCCCTCACTAAATTAAGTGCAAAGTAAGGCATCCCACCCCAGACAGAGGGATCCACATCCTTTAATCATGATGCAGGCCACTGCAATAGGGAGATGGATGCAGGACGCAGCCAGGGTGGGGCACCCAAGTGACACACTTAGACGGTGATCTGTTGGTTTTCTCTGAAAAACGGTCTCTGGTGTGAGGCACAAATATCTGGAAACATCCGGAAGACCTGGTCTGGCGGCGGCTCCTCGGGGGCCTGCATCACGGAGCCAGCTCCACAGCTCTTCCCAGCCTCTTCTGCCAGCTGCCGGACATAGAGCTGCTCAATCTAGATGGGAGGTACAGAAAGTCAGAGGTGGAGGCGGAGGCTCCAAAGGGGATGCGCACTGTCTTTGACCCTAGCCAGGTCCTCTGATGACCCCAGTGCCACGTGAGTCCCAAGTGAATGAGCCAGAATGCCAAGAAAGGGTAAGCAGTACTCCTGCCAACACTGTTCCATACTCCCCAGTACTGTCCCAGCTGGGACAGCCAGCACCCGGAATCCCACCATTAAAGATTAATTCCTTTGACCACATGAAATAAGGGCTGGCAGTGCCCTAATCTGTCACTTAGACTTTCAGGCAACTGAACAGGTAGAATCTTTCTGGATAAGAGGCTTAGATTTAAAAAACAAAAAAGAAAAGCAGAAAACACACACACACACACGGATTATGCACGTCCCAGACACCAGAAGATGGCTCGGAGATGGCAAGAATCTGTTTCCCCCATATTGAAGGTCTTGCCCAGGCCTGCCTCCTACACAGGTGGAAATTCCATTCTTGTGACCTCTTCTCCAGCCCAAAACTTGATCCTTACATGAGGGGGCCAGGAGACCTGAACACAGGGCTCAAAGGTGCCCATACGGCCGGGAAGTGGTGGCTCACGCCTGTAATCCCAGCACTTTGGGAGGCCGAGGCAGGCGGATCACGAGGTCGAGACCATCCCGACCAACTTGGTGAAACCCCATCTCAACTAAAAATACAAAAAATTAGCTGAGCGTGGTGGCACAGGCCTGTAGTGCCAGCAACTCAGGAGGCTGAGGCAGGAGAATCGCTTGAACCTGGGAGGTGGAGGTTGCAGTGAGCCAAGGTCATGCCATTGCACTCCAGCTTGGGCAACAGAGCAAGACTCCATCTTGGAAAAAAAAAAAAAACCTGCCCATACTTACCTGCACGAGAATGAGTTTGGAGCGCAAGGGGGCCATATCCGGAAACTCTTCCCCAAAGCACAGCACCACCCTGCCGTCGGGAAGCCGGCCCTGGCTGTTATAAAACTGCTGCAGCTCTGGAATGACACACGCAGAGGGTGTTTGCAAGCAAGGCCGAGATGACCTCCAACTCCCGCAGCAGCAGGGCTGGGGGATCAGGAGGCCCAGGGCTTAGCAGGGGTACTGCAGCATGTAGGCCAGGGCACCATGGGATCTCAAACTGGTGGCCCTTGGGCCAAATTCCAAGCAAGGAGCTGTTGGTTTGGCCATTCCAGGTTGTTGCCAGGATTTTAAGGCCTGAGTTGAACGCCTCTCCATGGGCACAGCTGCTCAATGCTCCCTCTTATCTCTCGAGAATTCGTGCATTGCTCTTGCCTGCCTGGCCCCTGGAGGCAACTGAGTTTGCAATCACGACCTGATGACACCCAGGGAGGGCTGCAGCCCTCACCCGATTCTCTGATAGCCAACTGAAAGGGTCTCAAAGTGGGGCCAGTGGACCAGCACAAGTTGCCTTCCCTGGGAGTTCATTAGAAATGCAGAATCTTCGGCCCTGCCTCAGACCCATGGAATCAGAGGATGTGAGGCAGGCCCAGGAATCTAGGTGGCAGGACGCCCCTCCGTGCCGTGCCGTGCTGCCTGCTCAGGGGTGATAACCCCGGCCTCACACCCCCTTATTAGAGGGATTCCTCAGGGCTTATGCACCTGAGCTCACACATGCCACCGCACCTGCCCTTCCAGGCCCCTCCTCTGGGAGTTCTCAGGCCAGTGGCAGCTGAGACCCGACACTAGCTCCGGCTGCTGCAGAGAGAGGAGCAGAGAGCATGGGAACATGGAGAAGGGAGCCGCCATCCTAGCCCTCCAGGAGACACCCAGGCTGGGATCCTACACATCCTCCTCACAGAATAATGAAAGCTGATGGCAGCGCTTAGTGCATGCAGCTGCCATCCTGAGCACTTAGTGTGCGGAAAGTCAGCGTATCTCATGACCTGCACACAGGTCCCCAGAGACCTTACTAAGACACTGTTTTGAATCCTGTGGTTGGAGCAGGGCCTCAAACTCTGCATCTCTAGCCAGCACTCAGGGTCTGTCCACAGAACATACTCCAAAGAACATGAGGTTAAGTTCCTTTACCCTCCCGACAATCACCTGAGGAGGGTACTGATTCTGCACCCCCCACTGTACACACGGGGAAGTTGAAGCACAGAGAAGCACCCCAGGATCGCTCAGTGGGAGAGGACAGAGTGCCATTGAAAGAAGCCCCTCCTTGCCACACCACACCCCTCGCTCCTCCACATCCCTCCGTGAGACCACAGGGCCACCCTGAGCTGCAAATGGCACACAGATAGGAGGCATGATCTCTAAGACATGGGGGCAGCAAGGTGACGACGGTACAGACCTCGGAAGAACTGGCTGGTGTCGAAGACCTGGACCACCTCGTCGCGCTCCAGCTTGTTGGGCCTGCCCTTGCACACCACGGCGTTGCCGCTGCAGAACACGCGGCCCTGGCACAGCCGCTTGACGAACACACCCTGCCGGCTGCTGTGCAGCAGCACCCCGCGCTCCAGGTGCCCGAACAGCTTCCGCGTCACCTGCCTCTGTCGCTCGCTGGGGATGGCGTCGGCCGGTGGGAAGCGCACCAGCTCCAGGCCCTCGGGCCCATACAGCTTGGTGCCAGGTAGCCCAGGCTGGCTCAGGGACAGGCGGCAGCCCTCGGGGCAGGTGGTGGTGGCCTGGCCCACCAGCTTGCCCCCATAGTAGAAGCTGATCACCATCTGGGAGAACGCTGTGGACGAGAGGGACACGATGAGGGTGCTGTGGGGAGACACACAGGGTCCCTCCTGCGCAAGGAGTCTGTCTCAAACCCACATGGCTAACTCTTTGTGTTTCTTGAACCACTTTGATATTCTGGGAAAATCCGTGTACTGCTTGTAGAAGTAATGTTTTTATACGCATGAACAAATATACAGAATGACTAAGGAAACCAATGACAGAAACTATGAACTACAACAGTGTTCTCTGTTCTTCTTCATTGACTCTTTAAATACAATGTCTAGAGAAGGTCTGGTAACTGTTGTAATTTACAAGTCAGGCTAACGGCAAATGATGTTTCGACAATTGTCATTTCTTATGACGATACTCCGTCTCAGAGGCACTGCTAAGGACACTGTGCTCTGGTTTCTACATTCATAACAAAAGGAAATGCTCAATTTAAACCTGAAGTTAAAGAAAATAAAGACATAACCTTTTTCTCAACAAATTCACAGTGCCCTTGGTATTTCCTGGATTTCAGATTAAGAATCTCTGCAAAACCCTCATCCAAATCTGTTCTCAGGAAAGAGTCTGAAAAACACTCAAACTAAAGCAGGGATTCCCCAAATGTGGCGCACACAGAATAATGGGGGAGGGGTGATACATGTAATCACAAGATTATTCCATCTTCAATATTCCCCCAACCTCTGATTGCCTTAAAAAGCAAGCCTCAGTTTGGTGCTGATAGCTCTCTAACACCTAACACCTGTCAACCTCCCCTTTTGAATAATGGCACTGAACTTAGGGCTCCAAATTCAGGGCATTGTCAGACGTCAAGACAAATTCAATGAAAGCCAAATACAATCTTAGTCAATTCTAGCCAGACAGTGTCACCTACTTATACCAGGTGGCACAGGTCTTCCTTTACAGGCAATGATAGTGGGTTCTCACTTAAAATAAGCTTTAAAAATTCAGACTTGAGGAAAAACATGATGTTAGTAACAGTCCAGGCTGTGAAAACCAATTGTGACAGTGGATCTCAAGTGACTAAAGTTTGGAAAACACTAAACTAAGGTAGGAATGCAGATAACATGTAAATGCAGGGAGGTATCTGCATTTTAATCGCCTTAAACCAAAAGAATTACATACGCTAGCAATGAGCTTAGTGAGTTCGGAGCTCCTTCTAAGTACCCCAGACCGGTTCAAGGCTGCCGTGTGGAGCCACACAAATTGTGAGGTGCCTAACTCCATGGCGCCCCCTAGAGTTGTGCAAGGCACCACATCTGGGGAGGCCTTGAGGCCATCTGTGGTCCCTGCAGACACTGCTGGGCACTCAGAACTCCTTGGACCCTCCCACTGGGCTCTGCTCCCTGCCTTATTTGACAACCCACCACTCACGGGCTCCATTTCCAGCCATGCTGGAGTTACACAGGTTCTAGAATCATGCAGGGTAGGAAGCCAGAGCTGCAGGAGCTCTGGTCCACCTCATCGATTTGACACTCGAGGAAACCGAAGCCTAGAGAGGGTCACCCAGAAGGAAATGGCAGCACTGGTCTCGCTCTTCCCTGCTCATCATCCTCCCTGCTGGCCTCGCTCTTCCCTGCTCACCATCCTCCCCACTGGCCTTGCTCCTCCTCACTCACCATCTTCCCCCCTGGCCTCGCTCCTCCTCACTCACCATCTTCCCCACTGGCCTCGCTCCCCTGCAGACACTGCTGGGCAGTTCAGAACTCCTTGGACCTCCCACTGGGCTCTGCTCCCTGCCTCATTTGACAACCCACCACTCACGGGCTCCATTTCAGCCATGCTGAGTTACACAGGTTCTAGAATCATGCAGGGTGGTGGGGCCAGAGCTGCAGGAGCCTGGTCCACCTCATCGATTTGACACTGAGGAAACCTGCTCAGAGAGGGTCACCCAGAAGGAAATGGCAGCACTGGTCTCGCTCTTCCCTGCTCATCATCCTCCCTGCTGGCCTCGCTCTTCCCTGCTCACCATCCTCCCCACTGGCCTTGCCTCTCCTCACTCACCATGTACTTCCCCTGGCCTCATCTCCTCACTCACCATCTTCCCCACTGGCTCCCGCTCTTCCCTGCTCACCATCCCTCCCTGCTGGTCTCGGGCCTCCTCACTCACCATCTTCCCCCTGGCCTTGCTCCTCCTCACTCACCATCTTCCCCACTGGCCTCGCTCTCCTCCTCATTCACTATCTTCCCCCACTGGCCTCGCCTCCCTCCTCATTCACCATCTTCTTCCCCACTGGCCTCGCCTCTTCCTCACTCACCATCTTCCCCACTGGCCTCGCTCTTCCCTGCTCACCATCTTCCCCCCACGCCAAGTCTGCAACTTCTGCGCTGCCTGCTGACTCCACACACTCCCCTTCCTTCGCCCTGAAGCAACTTTTGAACTTTGTTCCAAATGAATCAAACACTTCAGGCAACTCCGTCACCCCTTTGGCCCTTTGCCCTGTCATTTCCGGGGCCTTATCTTGGTACCAGCACCTCTCAGTCATGTGAACTGGCAGCTTCACCCAGAACAGCTAAGTGCTTCAGAGACACCTGTGCAGGAGTGTCTTAGTGACCACACGCCACAGAACGTCTTATGCTGAGAGAAGGTTCCAGCTATCAGGCTTGCACCTGACAGGTGAGAAGCCACTCACCAAGGGCTGCCCAGGTGAGGCAGGTGAGCCTTCTGCAACACTAAGGGCCCCACTGCAACCCAGCCCTGCCCTTGCAACCCACAAGAACAGCCGTGCTGGGGAACGGCCTGACCACAGAGACAGCAACAAAGATGCCCACAGCGCAGACCCTGCAGCCCACCTGCCTGACGTGCGGTCCCAGCGCAGCCGCTGCCCAGCTGGATGACCTCGGGCAAGCCGCTTCCCCACTCTGCCCCAGGTTTTCATCAGCAAAGTAGATAAAACAGCATCTACCTCACTGGGCTGCTGTGAGGATTATCGGAGCTTGTATTTGTGCTTGGCACAGGTAAGCACCAGTTAAAGAAACTGGGTAACAGGACAAATGCTTATCTACGCAGACAAGACTCCTGAAGTTATAAATCATAGCCTACGGTCTACACAGCACACACCAGGTGCTGTGTCCTGGGCAGGGGACCTACCAGCACACTTAACCCTGAAAGGTAGATTATTAATGATTATACCCATTTTCCAGGTGAGGAAACTGAGGCATGGGTTTACACAGAGGTGGGGGTGGGGCTGGACAGAGGTACAAAGCTCACAGCTTCTAGAAGGACGTTTAGGATGCTCTGTGCATGAGGCAGTGGCTGTGACTCTGCTGGACTAATTCAAGGACATGCTCTCCCCAAATTGTGTCTCTGCATCTTGCTGAGACGACTCAGTTCTGTGCCTGGCTACTCCACAGCCCCTGGAAGGCATCGGTCAGCAGACTCCCAGGTCACAGCCCGGTGGCTGGTGAGCCCAGAGTCAGCCCCATGACCCAGGCCTCCCAGAACTGAGCTCCTGTGAGCATGGCAGCTGCCAGGCACAAGGAGGCCTCAAGAACAGGCTCCAGCTAGAGGCCTGCGTGACCTGGATGAGACCCTGAACCTCCCAGTCTCAGTCTCCTCATCTGTGAAGCTGGAGTGAAAACAACCCCCCAGCTCAAAGGGCTGCCGGGAAACAGACAAGAACTTCATGGACGGGGCATTGTCATCTCAGTAGTTTTCCTGCCTGGGTGAGAACCAACCTCCACAACCCAAAAAACTGTCCCATGCAGACCTCGGCCAGCATGCTCCTATCCTGGCCTCATTTCCTCCTCTGCCCAGAGGCCCAGCCCTAACGTCTGTGGCCCATCTGATGAGACCAGCTGCTGGCCTCCCACAGAACCAGCCAATGCTGGAAGATGCCCCGGCTTCCTTGTTCAGAAGATGCTGTCACCATGCCTGAGTGTCAGTTCCAGGGGCAGCTGGCAGAAGTGCAGCCAGGGTCCTTAGCTGCTGAGACTACACACAAAGGCCACCTCTGCCCACTGCAGGCAGGTGTGGGGACGGGACAGCTGTGGGGAGGCCCCCACTCTGTAGCACACAAAGCTACGTGACCAGGGCTCCTGAGCCCGTGAAATAGGAACAGCCACCCCCACCTAGAGGTGGCAGGCACAGGAGCCTGAGATGAGGCACTGAGAGGCTCCATCACTCCACCTGCGGCCCCCAAAGAGGGGCAGCACTGGCATGGATGCTGGCCTGTCCCTCACTCTCTCTCCTGCACAGTCACAGCCTCAAAGGGCACTCTGTCTACTTGCTGGTTCAATCCAAGAAAAGGCTCAAAAGAGGCCACTCGCCTGCTCCTGACCAAATGGTGAGGAGGAGAAATCGGGGCCTCGACTTCCACACCAGGTCCTGCTCATCCACAGAACCCCGCAACCCTGCTTGGGTCATCTGGGCTTTGTCTTCAAACAGTGCCCGTGCCCCGCTCAGCCCGGACCACCCCGTACCTGAATGGTGTGCGTCGTAGGCGGTGTACCCCGTCACCAGCGACACGCCTGCGGGAGAAACAGAGAAGCAAGCTCAGAGCCACCCAGGTGTGGTGCCCAGGGAGCTACCCCAATCATTCCTTCTCCAAGTCCCTTAAAAGGCTGCACATGGCGGGCCAGAGGCCCCAGGGAGCACAGGCTTCCGCTGAATTCAGTGCTTTTCCCCACCAGAGCAGACAGCCATTGTTTCAGAAATGCAGAAAACCAGAGTGGCAAGTCGGGGGGACTTCCTCTATGCTGTGGGATTTCTGATCATGTGTCAGTGTGACACTGTGGGGCCACATTTCCTTCCCACCTCGAGCTCTTGCCCCCAGAATACCACTGGACTGCACACCCACCACCCAGGGCTTCTCTCTCGGGGAGAGCCTGGGGGTGCAAGCTAGCTTTCCAGAAGGTGTTCCTGCAGCATAGACAGAGGCGCCTTTCCAGGGGCCTCTCAATCAACACCCACGGCCTGGCAACCTTCAAGGCCTCCAGGGCCAGCTGCCACCTCCCAGACTCCCACAAGGGATGTGGGGCTGTGGGGAAGACGCTGAGGGAGGAAGCAACCACATTCACGGGCTGCAGAAGCCTGGGCCTGGGGGGCGGGGGCATTTCAAGCAGCTAGGGGCTCGGAGTGGCTCATCAAAAGAGCATCAAAGGATGAAAGCCTCATTTAACCCTTGTGACCCCATGGCGCAAGTCCTGGTTTCTCCGTTTTATGGATGAATAAACTAAGGCTCAAGATCTGCAACTTCCCAGCATGGGATTCAAATCCAGGGCTCTGAGCAAACTTCCTATTCCTGGTCTGAGTTCTCCTCTCCTCCAAATGCCCTGGGCTATCTTTGGTTCTGAGGGGTCCTTAATGTCCTAACAGACTGGCCGACTAAGGGAGCGCCCAGGGAGGGGGCGCCAGTGTGGCCAAGAGCTGCATCTTCCCTCTAGCCTTACACAAGTTCACTAGACCCTCCCCACTGGACTTTCCCAGGAGCGTGGGGAGAGCTGGCATGGACATCATCTAAGGAACAAGCAGCTTGTGCCCTCCTGAGAAGCAGCGGAGAACAGGGCCAAAGGCACAGCTGGGCTCTGCCCTCATGGTGGGAAACCAGGGCCATGGTTCTTCACCTCTCAGGGCTCAGCTACCTTCAATGAGACATGGATCATGACGGCAACAACCACCCCCACTCCATCCCTGGCTGGGGGAATGCCGTAAACTCCTTCAGGCCATGCCTGGTGACAACTCTGGGCCACCCACCCTCACCTGTGCTGGGCTGCTGCGCCCACCAGTCTGGAAGGAGCTGACTCCGACAGGCCTCCGGCGGGGAAGGGCTCCTTTTGATCATCCCCATGTAATCATCCACAGAAGGCTGCACAGTCAAGGGAGGGAGAGGAGGGCAGCTCAGTCACTGATCTCCCACCTGGAGCTCCAGTGTTTGTAAAAATGAACAGTTCATGTGTAACTAAAACCATATTGTCACCTTTATCTCAGGACACAAAAGTCAAGCTTCACTTTGCAACCTGAAAGGCCCTAGGCCTTAAATCTACCAGGCTTAGCATTCAAACCATGTGGCCAAATTACTAGGCTCTCTGGGGGCCACTAATAAGTTTCTTGGTCCTTTGCAGGACCTGCCTGTTGCAGACCCAGCGTTCCAAGTTATCCAACTGCCCCCAAAGCCCTGGACACACAGACAAGCTCTGAGACACCAATGAACGGCGATGCGGGCCAAAGGCTGCCATGCTTTCAAGAATCTCACTCAATGAGCCACACGCAGATGTTTAATCTCTGGCCCATTCCTTAAAGGAGGCTGATAAATCCAATTATGAAATGTTTTGAAATTGCTTTTCTTGTGACCCCGGTGTAGCAATCCAATTATCTCACTCTCTCGGCTGAGTCAGCAGAAAAGCCTTCTACAGAAAACAGGACATTGGTGGAGGGCCACGAAGCCAAGAATTCACTCAGTCGGCTGCCAAAGACCACCCAGACACTTGGCAGCTGCCTCTGCAGAAGAGCAAGGCCGTTCGGGTAGGTGACATTCTGTTATCTTCATTCTCTGACAGCCTAGCTACTCTTAAGGATTCCATTATTGCTATGTTATTAAGAAGAAGAATTTATACAGTACTCACACCACCTTTTGCAAAGGCTGCGTGAAGTTTAGTTATGCAAATGTCCAGCTTGTAATACCCATAAAAAGCATAGTTAAGAGGCCAAAGACAGAAGAAAAGGGCATCCCAATAGCTGAAATGGGCATACAAAAGCCATGTGTTCTTGCCTAAGGAGGCCCCAATTACCCTCTCCCTTGTAGCCTATTAGGAGTTTATGTGCAATTTGAACATGCTTGGTTATCCAGTTTTCTAATTCGTTAAGGAATAAAACCTGCACATTAAAAAGGAAGCAATCAAATAGGCATGAGAGCTGGTACAACAAACCACGCCACCATGACAAGCACAGGCAGCAAGGAAAGTTTACATTTTGTTCTCTGCAGCCTGCTAGGAAGGCAAGGGAATTCACGATGCCATTTAAAAGGCTGCTGTCCAAAATGTTCAAAATGTTTGAACAGTTTGGAGCTGGAAAGAACTTCACTAACACATAACAGGCAGCTCAGGCCCAGCCCTAGGGATGAAGGAAGGACTGACCTGTCAGCAGAGGCCAACCTGGGGAGGGGGCACCGAGCCAGTTCCGTTCCAGCTCTGCACAGGTGGAGATGCCACTTCCTAAGAGAGCCCGAGGCTCTGGCTGCCTTCATACAGCAAGAACAGTGCCCGTCCCTGACAGATGACATGAGACTCCCCCTGGCAGGGCCAGACCCCTGAAACGCTGCCTCTGCTTACCTCCTTGATCAGCTCGTCGATTTCAGAGCGACCGCACTCCATCTCCGTGACTTCATTCACGCAGCCAGCAGTCGCCACACCTAGTTTGCCTATAGAAAACCAGACAAACACCATGACACACGGCACGGAGGCATCACAGCCTTCGCTGAAGCCATGATGCACTCTGAAAATGCTGAGTTTAAGGAAACGTTAAGTTAGTGAGCGTCTTCATTGGTTTGGGAAAGACGCAGAATTTTTTTCCCATGCTTCAGTCATCTGATCAGCAAAGTCAAAAGAGAGAAGTTGGTGGCGGTGGTGGTGGTTGTTTCTGCTAACACTTTTAAAGGATAAAGACAGCATTTTGGTCTCTTTCTTCTATTTTCTGAAGTCCAAAAGGAATCTGTATCAGATATACTTTACAGCAAGCATTCGCTAACCTAAGAAGGTTACATTTATAAGCCACGGCATTTGAAAACACTCAAAGATTTCCTGGCAAAATGTGTTGGCAGGTTGGGGTCTTTTTCGTATTGCCAGTTGGCAGGAAATCTCTTTATGGCCTTTCCAAATATACACATGTGCATCAGTGCACATAGCCATGCCCACACACGCACCACAGCACCCTCACTGATGCCCAGTGGGCACCAGCCGTAATCACAAACCGCCTAAAGGTGCACAGCGTCCACAGGAGCACGCTGGGCCAGCCTCTGCTCTTTCCCTTCTCATGCCACTTCCTCAGTCGACAACTTACCTTATGAAGTTTACCAGTGTGAGACGTATCACAACCAACAAACACAAAAATTCATTATTCCCACTGACCTACAGAATTTACCCACTGTTTCCTCCTGGCTGAATTTTGACTCCATTTCGATAGATTGAAGAATTCACTGAGAAGCTACTGATGGGGAAGTAGGGAGCAGGTGGGGCGCCCACCATGGAGCCTGCAAACCACTGAAGTTCAGAGGAGAGTGGGCCCCTGTAGGCAATTATGCAAATGCTACTTGCTTCACCCCTGAGAACCTCCTGCTGCTTCTTTAACATCACTATCAGGTGATTCTGGCCACACCCCATGCTATAAACAAGTCGGGGTCACCTGCTGGTTCAAGCCTGACTCATCTTGGGGGTGGGAGTGGGGGCCAAAAGAAACTTCTCCATTCCTTCAAATCACAATTTACTCTTTGGTGACAAAAAAAAAAATTGCCCAAAACTGGGAAATGAGGCAAAAAGATGACTGCTTAGCCTTTCAGGGCCACCCCAGACTATTATGTAGAGATTTCCTCCTGGAGGCACCCGATTCTCCAAGGGAAGGTCAGTTTGTTGGCCTTACTATTTAGTATTGATCAGGGTTCAGGCTCAGTAGAGTTAGGTGTTAACTACGGATGATTAGGCTACAAACGCCCCAAACCGCAGTTGTACTGTCCGGGTCGGGCATCAGGTTTGGCTCAGCTTTCTCGTTCATGGGCCACATTCACCAGCGCCTCGGGTTCTCTGTCCACCGTCTTTACCACCATGCTGCCTCCCTCATAACGATTAAACAACTCTCTGACAGAGATTCGCTATGTATTTGTTTGAGTCACAATTTTAACTTTTAAAAAAGTTCTAAGTCAACATCCGCACAGTGGGAAGAGTTAAAACTTCAAACTTCTGCACAGCCCCAAGAAGTTTTGGGGGTTTCTATTTCTTACAGGCATTCACGGACTACTCAGAAGCTTAAAAGGAGAAAGTCAGAGTGGGTTATTCTAAAAGCCCCATTAAGTGGCTCAGAAAATCAGTGTGTTAAAAGCATGTTGTAAACCAGCGCTGGTAATTAGGTTTTATCTCATAAATCAGCTACAATTCACAGCAGCGGCACAGCACAGGGCTTTGAGAAGGATTCTGAGGCCAGATCCCAGCTCAGTACTTTGGGACTGATTTTAGTGATGTAGGACCAGGGTGCGGCATGTTTTTGCTGTCCTGCTTTAATCTGTCACAAATGTTTTCTTGGGATTTGAGAGCTGGAAGAAACCTCAGGAATGATCACATCCCAGAGTTCCCAAATAATGATCAGGATCTAATAACACATTGAGGCATATCCCATCTCCAACAATGAAGCCCATGGCACCATCTTTGACGACTTCATCTGACAGCTTTACTCTCAACCCTCATGATCCAGTCCTTCTGTGGCCACCATATTTTCCCCCAGCCTCCTGTGCAAGCTGCTGAAAAATGAAAGGATTCCTCATCAGAAACTGCTGGAGGGTGCTTATTCCTGTCCAGGGGGGCCCTACACATGTCTGTGGTCTGGCAGCAAGTGGGGTACAGGCTGGGCTGCACCCAGTCTCCTCCGCCCTTCCCTCCAAGGTCACTGGAAAGAGATCTCAATCTCTGCTTATGCAAAGGAGAGAACTACTTTGTTTAACTGAAACCATGTGCCCCAGACCCTGTGTCTACCCCAGACCCAAGCTCTGTGGTGAAGGCTGCAGGCCAGGGCAGCTTCCGAAAGGTTTGATACCCATAAAGGATAGTTACATTTTTGCTCTTCCTCAGGAACAATTCGGTAAACTTTGTATGGCTCGGAAATGTCCAGCTGGGACCGGTCCGTCACTTCCTCAAAATCTGGGCTCTTATTCAAAGCACAGCGTAACCTCGTCTTCCAAGTGGCTGGTTCAGCTTTGTCCCCTTCTTTAAACTTCCCTTTAAAAACTGCCCAGGCCTGAAGAAAGAAACAGAAGCACATTAAATTCATGGCCGACTCCAATCACAAGTATCTGTCACCATGACCAGGACCCCACACATCCTTCCCTTCCCACGAGTCTTTGTTGACCATCAACTCTCATTCAATTTCAGGACCCAAGGCGACTCCAATCAGATGTCTGGAGACCAGATGTGAAAAGACCCAAGCCAGGGAGAGGGTCCTCCAGGTTCACACAGCTGAGTCAGAAGTCAAACCCAGGCCGAAGGCTCCTCCAACCCTGGAGTGTGCCTTTTAGCCAAGCCCTTCCCTGGCTGAAGAGCTGGAGACACCTGAGGTTTACACAGCACAAAGAGGAAGTTGCATATGGTTTCACCAGAGCGTTCAAAACAAAGAACAACTTGTTGCTTTTTCGGATCAACCCCTAAAATTTAGCATGAAAAGAGAACATTTGCAAAAAGTCAAAATGGTCATCCATCGCCCTGTTACTTTTAATAGAAATTTTGTTTTGCATTTTTGCATTTATTCTAGACTTTTCCCCCCAGGTGCTGTTTAAAATGTAATGAAGTATTTTCCCTTCATTGTGTGTGTTTTTTAAACAGGTCTGTTTTCTGACTTCTCCAAGCCTTAGGATCTGAACTAGGACCAGAAATTCAAAGCAGATATCTTAAAGTCATAATGTAGAATGGGGCAGTACAGATTTAAAAAAAAAAACAAGACAGGTGAATGGACAGATTTTAAGATTGCAAAACGGGAATACAGACACACCAACTAGGAGGAAACCACAGTCAGATGAGAATTATCTTCGGTTCCAGGAAAAATCAGACAGTGTCCTCCAGCCTAACATGATAGGAGATCTGTAGGGAATTCCCAATCCCATTCAGGAAAATGCAATTCCAAGAGGTAAGTAACGTTCGCACGGTCACCCAGTCTGAGATTAAATGCCAGCTGTACCCACTTCCAACCCAACAGTTTCTCCACCACTGCAAGTGTTCTCAGGCCTAATGCATATACCAACCCCCTGCTCCTGGGAAGCTTGTGAAAAATGCAGATTCCTGGGCCTTGCCCCTCAAGATTCTCACTGGGGAAGTGGGGTTGGGTCTAGGTGACTGTCTTTTTTTATTTATTTTTATTTATTTATTTATTTATTGAGACGGAGTCTCACTCTGTCACCAGTCTGCAATGCAGTGGCGTGATCTTGGCTCACTGCAACCTCCACCTCCCAGGTTCAAGCGAATTCTCCTGCCTCAGCCTCCCAAGTAGCTGGGACTACAGGTGCGCACCACCATGCCCAGCTAATTTTTGTATTTTTAGTAAAGACGAGGTTTCACCATGTTGGCCAGGATGATCTTGATCTCTTGACCTCCCAGAGTGCTGGGATTACAGGCGTGAGCCACCGCACCCGGCCCAGGTAGCTGTCTTTAGCCAGTATCCCAGGGATTCGGATTTAGCTACCCAAGAGACCACATTTCCAGAAACTCCATCATGCCCCCATGAGTCACAGCTCCTTTAAAATAGCCCAGACTGTTTTTCCTCTCAAAAAAGACAAGAATGCTTACTGCTCAAGGCCAATGCTGTCTACTCTGTTGATGCAAAATGTTGCACCTCTACCTAGGGTAAAGAAACTGGAAGAACATTCCTATTAGTGAGCATAAGTGGTAGTTTCCATATGTGACACTGATGTAAAACTCCCCGCTAAAAATATTTCTTAAAGTACACGGTCTTTAATGTTCTCCTTCATTAACTGCTTCACTGACCAGGCATTACTTTGGGTTTTGTTGCTGTTGTTTATTTTTAAAGAAATAAAAGAGCAAACCATGTACTAAATGAACTGTAGTTTCCAATTTTTATTACTTTAAATCAGGGTTTCCCCACCGTGGCAAGCCTGACATGTCAGCTGGGACCCTTCTTTGTGGTGGGGTAGTCCTGTGGATTGTAGAATATTCAGTGGCATCCCTAGCCTTGACCCACCAGATGCCAACAGCACCCCTCCCCTAGCTTTGACAACCAAAAATGTCTCCAAACATGGCCAAGCGTTCCCTGGAGGGTAAATCATGATACCTCCCCCATCTGAGAACCACTGAGTTAACCCACATCCCAAACGGGCCTTGAAATGCACAGATTTCATGGCAACGTTGTGATCGGCTGGTACACATACACAACTGCGGTGCCTGTAAGGCACTGCCATATTCACTCGTTCATGCCAAGCTCACACTCACCCCAAGAGCAAGGCCAGGCCACATCATCCATCGCAGCAGGGCCCATGGCCAGGAAGCATCCAGGACCACCATTGGGTATGTGGCTTGCAGCCTGCCCTGAACTCTGTGACACAGCAGGCACCTGGCCCTCTCCCAGCCTCTCTAGCCAGCATTAAAAGGTCAACTTAGCTTGATGATCTCTCAAGATCCTTCTTGAGCTAGAGCAAAAACTAGACACGAGAGTGATTTCAAGGCTCCCCCCAGCCAGCAACAGTCACTATGGCTCATTCAGCCTCCGCCATAACTTCTTCCTCCTGTTGACGCACAACTCAGGCTGACAGCATTGAACTCAGACCAGGAGGTCTTCCTAATTTCATACGATCGTTTCATGTTGTATTTTTTTAATTAAATGCTATTTTTCCCTTCAAGGCCTGCTGAATTAGAAATAACTGTGCTACTAAGTGAGTTTTAACTCATTCAGGCCTGTTACGATGCCTGATACAACCATGAATCGTAACCTTCACTTAACTAGATCTTCCCCCTTCTCGTCATGTCAAGGAGGTGAAGTACTTTGTAAAAACTAAATGAGCTGATATCAGGGCCTCATCAGTGTACTCAGGGCTGGTACAAAATGAGTTCAATGTTTTTTCAATTTCTCTTCTGTGATCTATACCATGAGGGCGGCCTCAGGATGACGCCTGCAGACAATGAGGGATCTTAGGTAGCTAAATCCGAATCCCAGGGCCACTGGTATAAGTGGCCTCTTTTACCACTCACTTATTATGGAGAAACCAAACTCATAAATTTCTTTCTTAACTCCTAAATTGTTGAAAGGTTTTCTTTGAACAGTTGAAACAAACAAGAGTCTACATAACCGAAAAATCCCTAAGATGGCTCTATCTGACCGAGGTTGACTTCATCCAACAGCCAAAGATCTATCCGGCCAATGTAACAGAGGCAGGCCTCTCAGAGGACGGATGGGAACAAGCATAGCTCAAGGAAGCACCTGCTGGGCTCTTGTTGGTGCCATGTCTCCACTGGCACTGGTGGACCTCCCGACGGCCTCCCTGCTCCAGTGGGCACCCACATCTCCCTCCTGGCCCCATTCCTGCTGAGATTGTAGACTCATTTCAGATTGCCACATCAGGCGACTGCGTAACCAACGGAAACATTGGGAATCTTGCACATTTTTCTCAACACTGTTGAAACGGCCATGAAGAACATTGCATAAGATGTATAAATCTGGGGCTTTATTTCATTACCCCCCGAGCACAAGTTGAAGCAGGGAATGGGGTGAAGGGAGAAGCTTAGTCTCTGTCAGCAAGCCACATGTCAGGGCTACACAGCCTAGTCCAGCACCCTGTGCCATGTCTTAAAGATGTTTTACTGATGTCCAACCTGCAACTGTGCCCTCAACACCCAACACCTCTGGTTAAGTCTGTTGATCCTGGCAGTGGCCAGCTCTTATCAGGGTTCTCAATGGGGAGGGGAAGACTCTGGCCCTCAGGAGACATTTGGAAATGTACAAGACATTTTTTATTGTGACAGTAGGGGAGGGGATGCTACTGGCATCTGGTGGGTAGAGGCCAGGGATGCCACTAAACATCCCACAAGGCCTAGGGAACCCTTACAACAAAGAATTGCCCAGACCCAGGCATCAACAGTGGCGAAGCAGAGAAATTCCGGCTTTTGGGGTAATCTATAATGCAGAGTTCCCAATCGACTGGATGGGACTCTGATACTGTTTAAATCTGCAGTCCTTCCCAAGAGAAGGTCACCATGATGCCAAAGGCAAAAGAAAAAAAAAAAACTGCAATCAAACAAGAGAGAAATCCACAACAGCACTAAGGGTGAGGAAGCAGGCAGTGGTATCACAAAACTCACTGGTGCTGAGGCTCCCTGACCTGGGGTCCTTGATCAGAAAGAATCTGGAGATGTGGGGGCACCAAGGGACTCCCTCAAAGGTGAGTGCAAAGCATTCCCTTGTCCCCATATTCCTTGGAGTGGTCAGTAATGGGCATCAGATTCTCAAGAAGACCAGCAACCTCAAATTGCAGATTTAACAGAATTACTGAAATGCACAGCCCCGCTGCAAACATTGGTCAGGCAAAGATGTGCAGGACCAAAATGCATCTTAAGCCACCTTTGACCTATTTATGGTCCACTCTGGGGTTAAGGTGTGATCTTTTGTCATTTTTGTTCTCTGGTGTCAGGGGACAGTCATCTGTGGCTGGGAGTCCAGCACTGTCATGGGGTCCTACAGCCTTGACTCCCTCCACACCTTGTTTGTGGTCTCAGGTCTGATTCTGGCCCCCAACAACTCAGCCCCCTTTGCCCCTCTCTCACACCCACTCTCCTCTCCCCATCCCTGGCCCCCAAATGCAAGAGAAGAAGCACACATGGCAATGGCTTATAACCTGGGCTATGACTCAGTCTACGTGTAGTGTCCACATTTGCAAACGTGGAAGTCTAGGCTGACCTTGACCTAGGGCTCCGAATCTCCCAGAGGTGAAACCTGGACATCTGGAGCCTTAGGGATGCCCACACAGCACTCTGATGACCCACAAGGAACTCAATAGCCCAGCTGGTCTGCAGAGTTGGGTTGTCCCAATT